ACAAAGCGCCGCCCGGCAGCGCCGCCTGCCGGCCCCGGGACCGGCCGGGACCCCCTGCGGGCGCAGGGACCCCCACGGGAGCGCGGGGAGCCCGGGGGGAGGGTTGGAGGCGACAGCCCCCCAGGAGGGATGAGGCCGGGAGGAGGGTTCGGGAACCCCCCTGCAGGCACAGGGACCCTCCAGGCCGTGAGGAGGCTCCGGGGACCCCCTGCAGGCACAGGGACCCCCCACAGCAGCGAGGGGATCTTGGGGGACAGGGTGGAGGTGACATCCCCCCTAGGAGGGATGAGCCCGGAAAGATGCCACACGGAGGCTCCAGGGAGCCCCAGGAGGGGTGTGGGATGCTCAGGAGGGGACAGGCATGAGGGGACGTCAGGAAGGGTGCAGGGAGCCCAGGCAGGACCCCAGGGAGCCACAGGCACCCTTTGGATGGGTGTGTGGGCCCCAACATGAGGGGTGTGCCAAGGAGCATCGGGATCGGTCACAGAGACCCTGCCCTGGRGCAGGAGACCCCATGACAGGGCCGTGTTCCGAGCAGGGGCACCCTGGAGTGCTCCTGTCACCCACCGGGGTTGGAACTGGCGGGTTTCCCCAATCCAGGGCCTGTGTCCGTGCTGCTGGGCYGGCAGCACCCACCCGCTCCACCACCCGGGAGAGCCCCCTTCCCGTCCCACCCCGTCCCTGCCTTTCCATGCAGCTTCCCACATCCCTGTCCTCGCAAACAGGGCCCCAACGCCCTCCCAGTCCATCAGGTCCCCTTGGTGCCCATCCCGTGCGCTTCAGGTCCCCTTGGTGCCCATCTTCCCCTGGCCCTGCTGTCCTCAGCTCCACAACACGCTGCCAGGCCGCTCCGCAGACGAGGCCGACTCGGCTTTTACTCCAATGGACTCCAACAGCTCCCAGGCTGCTGCAGCCGGCCTGGACACCGGGCCCACAGCAGAGCTTTGCAGGAGAAGCCCCCCAAACGCAAAGCGCTCCGCAGAGGTCACGCTCTGCCTCTCTGCGGAGGCCGCGGGCTCAGCAGCTGATTACGCTGTGACAAGTCGGCCTGTCCCGGTTCCTCCACCGCTGCAAACAGACCAGGCAGCCTTAAAAACAGGGGACCTTCATCCCGGCGGGAGCAGCCTTACCTTGCGTGAATCCCGGCCGAGCAGGTCCTGCCTTCCACCCCCTTCCCGTGCCCGGGCTTCTCCCGCATCGGCTGCTTTGCAGCTCTGTATTTATACCCAACCCCAGAGAACCGGCGCCTCGGGGAGGAAACATCTATCCGGAGGGAACATATCCAACTTTTGGAGGCTATGGATGCACATATTATAATCACCCCTGACTGGGAGGAGGAAAAAACACGGGAAAATATCACCCTCCCATCCATCCCAGGCAGCTTCAGCTCGTTGTCTCTTAACTAACCTTTGAGGAGCTGTTTTAYGAGGGAGGATTTTCCTTCCCCTCTTGCTATCCCTGGGGAAAGGGCAACCCAGCCATTGAATTCAGCATTTAGGGAGTGCCAGATTGGCCACCCCACACCCTCCATGCCGCCCCGGGCTGCCCCTGCACCTCTACAGAGCAGGGGCCTGGGGCCTCCTGCTCCCCACGGTGCAGCAAGCGGCACACGGGGATATTTAAAAGCAGGAAGTGCTCAGATACTATGGAAACCAGGGCAAAGAAGAACCTAAAATAGATGGAGGCAGCAAGCTGTTGCGGAGCCTGCAGAAGCCTTGCTGAGCAAAGCGGGGCTTGCTGCAGCTAAGTGGATCAAACCTGCGCGTCTCTAACGCGAAATACCCTCTCGCTGCTGCTTCCAAAGCCTGGCGTTTTCCCCTACTAGAGGGCAAGGGATATTTTCCACTTAGGCTTTTCAATTCCCCTCTGTTTAACAAGCCTCCTGGCTGCAGGCTGCTTTGCGCGAGTCGCGTCCTAGCTTGCCCTTGCCCTGGCCTGGAGCAGGCTGCTGCCTGACATCGTTTCTGTACGGCAACATCACTGGGAATACATCAGAGGGGAATAAACGCTACGGAGCATTCTCCTTCCCAAAGGAGAATCCAACGCCAGCCTAAAGAGAGCCTGAAACAGGGAGTCAAGCCTCCAAGACACTACRCGCCTCCTTTCTGCAATGCAAACACATTTATTGTGCATATTCACCCTCCACAAACCACTTGCTAAATCCTTTTCTCTATGAAAGGGGAAAAAACCCTCACCCATCAACACATACACCAAAAAAMCAAGCGCTTGAAATAGCCGGAGTGGCACCTGGAGGGAGCACGGACTCGGCGGCGGGTAAATCGACCCCTCTGGTGAACCCGCAACTCRGCGGCTGGTGCAGCGCGGTTAGAGCCGGGCACAGCGGGCACCGGCACCATGCACCCCTGCAATGGTGCAATGTGGTGTCCCCACGTCCTGGGCTGCTTGGTGGCCTCGCTAGAGCAGGCCTCAAATGCAGAACGAGGCCAGAGGTGCTACAGTCTCCCTTGACGCCTCCGATTCCGGTTCCACTTGCTCCTTACAAGCAGTTATTGAAGAAAATACATCAACCTCTGGCCTTTCCAGCACCTCAAAGAGGAAACCCCAGCTAGGTGAGGGGAAGAATTCACATGGAAAACTGAAATAAAAAATAAATCTGAAAGAGCGTCATGCTCTGCAGTGCCCCTCAGGAGGGAGCGAGCAGGCAAAGGCAGCTGCGATCCTTCACGTTAGAACTTCTTGACCGCAGCGTCGATGTCAGGAACGATCGCCTTCAGCTGGTTCCACTGCTCCGCAGACAGGGCAATCCCTAGGAAGGAGRGGAGACGCGTGAGAGCAGAGAGGGCAAGCAGCCCCTGCAGGAAACTGGCATCTGATGCAGAGCCTGAGGTCATACACGCAGGCAGAGAACCAGTATTTAGATTCAAACATTTGTGAACTCTCTTTTAATTAACAGATCTTCTGTCTTACATGGTGGAGGTGGATTTCACAGCCTGGATGGGGTCCACCATAGTCCCTCCCTCCTGCCCCCAGGGCACAGGAGGGATTCAGGGCTTTGCTTCCAGCTTTCCAGGGTAAGCAGGTCCCTTTAAAGGAGTAATTTAGAGCTGTAACTTSTCTGAAGGAAATTAATTTCTGGAAGGTAAACCATGCTTCGCRGTTATGAAGCAAACCGCGCTGAAAGAAATCCATCTACCCTGACACAAAATCAATAGCAAAGACTGAAAGGTTCCCCCAGAAATTCCACKTTAACTGGATCTCTGCAGCACACAGGGCAGAGGAAAAGCGACTTAGAGCTCAGGGCTTGTGAGATTCCAGGGACACCATCGGAGCCCCGGAGCCTCAAGCCAGACATTGACTCAGCARCCGAGAGGCTCTGGGAAGAGCCACGTCCTTCCTTGCCCTGCCGCCTTCCTGGGCATCCTGCTTGGATAACGCTGCTCTCCGGGGCCACCCCGGCTGCGCCCCTGAATCACAGCACGAGGAGCCTTGCTGGGCAGCAAGGAGCACCAACCACGTCCCGGGCTCGGCAGGGAGCCAGGAGGCTCCTGACCTTCCTGTGCCCACTCCGACTGGGAAGGAGGAATTTCTGCCACGCACGGCTGCAGGGTCACGGGCCCGGGGGCACCCCCGGCACGCTGCAGCCACGGCAGCTCCTGCACCGGGACAGGTTCATCCATCCATGGTGGGACACGAGGCACGAGGGCTGGCGCTCGCTGCCTCCCCTTGCAGCAGGTGAAGAGGAGGCCGCTGATGGGAGCGGAGCGGGAGCTGGGAGGAGCTCCGTGCTGCACCTCGCAGCGCTGCCCACGCGCCGAGCTGCAGCCCCAAGCACAGGCTGCTGCGTGCACGGGGCGGCCCCGGGCCCAGGCGCTCGGGGCGAGCCCCTGCCCTCCATCCGCCTCACGGGCRGCGGTACCTTTCCTGCCAGGCTTGGTGTCCCCCTCCTTGTCCTCGTAGAACTCCCTGATGTCCACGAGGACCTTGCCCTTGAAGCAGGACACCCTCACGTAGCGCATCTTCCCGATCTGCGGAGACAGGGAGCCGCGCTGACCCCCCGTGCGGCCGGGGGCTCTGCAGCCTGCAGCGCAGGGAGGCTCTGCTGCAGGAGCRGCGCAGCTGCAGCGGCACCCTGCATTAGGGCTGCGGGAGGAAGGCCCAGGGCACCTGCCCCTACCTGGAACATGTTCTCCTCCTCCTCCTCCTCCTCCCTCCCCCGGGGCCGCGCGGCCGCCTTGCGAGGCCTGGCCTCGGCTCGCGGCCGTTTCTCCAGCTTGGAGGRCGCTTCCTTCTTTCTTTTCTAAGGGGAGAGAGCGGCAGCTGGAGCGGCGCGGCCAGCGGCGCCTCGTGCCCCAGCGCAGCGGGCCGGGGGCCGCACCGGGGGCCGCAGCGGGCCCTGCTCCTCGCGGCCGCTCTCCGAGCTGCTGCCGCCGCCGCTCCTCGGCTGCTCCCCGGCCTTGGGCATCCTGCGCGAACGGGCGGGGAGCGCCGCGCGGGACCCTTAAGAGCCGGGGCCGCCCGAGCAGGCGCGAGCGCCGCGGCTCCCGCCAGCCGCGCCGCCAGGCCCCGCCCCGCCCCGCGGCTCTATGGTGCCGCCAGGCCCCGCCCCGCCCCGCGGCTCTATGGTGCCGCCAGGCCCCGCCCCGCCCCGCGGCTCTATGGTGCCGCCAGGCCCCGCCCCGCCCCGCCGCCGGCCAATCCCGCCGCCGCCGGGGCTCCCGCGGCCAATGGGCGCCGGCAGCCCCGCCTCTCGGCCGGCCAATCCCCGGGCGGCGCGCGCCGCCCCGCCCCGCGGCTGTTTCCCGCGCCCGCAGCCGTTTCCCGCGCTCGCGGCCGTTTCCCGCCCCGCGCACACGTCGCTTGCGACGCTGGAGTTTGGATCAGGGACGGGGACGAGCGCCCGCGCGCGCCGGCTCCCCGGCCCCGCAGCCCCCGGCCGCGGACACCCCCGGGCCAGGACGAGGGGTGTTTGCGCCCTTGAGGCGTCAGGACCCGACCCAGCGCCCACCAACGTTTCTGTCAACCTGCTTGGACAGACGGGGGCAATGTCTGAGCCTCGAGGTCTGATCCTCATCCCATCTTCCGATGCAATCTTTCCAATAAATGAGGAGCCTGCAAATACCAGCAGCAGAAACTAGTATCTCTCCAGCACGTCTTTCATCAAACCCTCTCAATCTTGGTTTATTTTTTGGTTTATTTTTTTCCAAAGGGGAAAAGAAATGGATAAATAAGGAAATGAAAAATCTTTAAATACTTAGATACTAATATATTTATAAGAAAAAAAAAACTATAGTCATTAGTCAACTGCACTGCATTTTCTGTTAGCTTTTAAATATTCACCTTAATATACATTTGTTCTTTATGATGCACAAGATAAACGAGTCAATATTACTAGATAAATCTTTTTCCTGAGCTGCAAACATTCCAGATTATAACCTTGGCGTTGTTACCCAATTATCTACAAGGACAAACTAAACAGACTGAAGCAAGCAAGCTAGAGGCCCGGGGGAAGAGCCGGAGCTACACGTCACCACGGGGCAGCGAAGCAGCCTCGCACTTCAGATCCGCAGGTCAGGACTGAACGGCCGAGGTGTAGAACGCAGGCTGGCCACAAGGCCCAGAAGTTGGATAAATTTTGCCTTATTTTATGAACAGCACAAGTTTGTGACTTGAAATAAATGCTATTGCAGGATATTTGGGATTTAAGGTGTTTGTGGTGACTCCTCCCTCCATCGTCAGTGGATTCCYAGTTCCTTCGGGGTTCAAGGTCTTTCCTCCGAGCGCTGCAGAAGGGCCAAGGGTGAAGTTCATCTTGCAGAGCAAAATCTATTTCATGAYGATGTTGGGAGGAGACCAACTGCAACAGGCCCAACTACTCGCATGTAATCCCCACTCGTGCCTGGGGGGTGGGAGCAGGTGGAAGGAGTTTAAATTCTTAAAGCCTGCCAGAAAAGCAGCTTTCTGCAAACTGCAGACTCTGGCAGCAACAGAAGAGCAGGCAAAATGAGACAGGCTGCAAAAAGTGTTCCCTTACGGCTAGAAGGGTCACCCGGTAGCCACTTACAAACACGTGGGAATGGGCTTTCGTGCCTCCTCGATCCACGCCATGCAAACTCCTGCTAAAAGGGGAAGGAAAGACAAGGGCACAAGAACCAGCTACACAGAGCTCTTCTGCAACGTTGTGGAGAACTTTTATTTCAAGAGGAACGCTGTGGGGCTTCTGCCTCCGTGTCATGCTCACAGGAGGATTAATCAGCTACGCTGCAAAACGGAATCAGCATCAGGAATCACCGTGGTTGTTGTTATTACAAAACACAGCAGGATGGTAGCRATGAGTGGTAAGCTTCCATGTCAACTTCTCCTAAACATCATGGCAATGTGGGAACTCTGTTCACTCCCCTGACGGGCACCAGAGTGACGGTGCCAGTCTCCACTCCCTCCTTCTCAGCTATGAGCTGGAATGTGACGGTCTCCGGTTTGAGCAGACAGTGCGCTTTGGTGCACACACTCGTGATCAGAAGCACAAGCCCTTCTATGTAATGAAAACTCCTTTCTGTGGCACCCAGCCAGGGACATATCAAGTGCACTCAATCAGCGTATGGGACAGATGACCCTAGTGCAGGAGAGAGCAAGCCACTATCCCCACCGTCCTTGAAGCTTGTGAACCCTCATCTACCTCCGCTCCTTTCAGGCACCTGCCCCTGGCGCCTGGCCCTGCCCCAGGAGCGTTGGCAGGGCATTGTGGAAAGCACAAGGAGGGAAGAGCTTGCTTTAATGCTGCAGCCTTACCAGGGACAGAGCCGCAACCATCCTGCCTGGGTTGGTGCAAGTTTGTGACTCAGGCTGGAGTTTCTCACGAGGAAGAGCCAAAGTTGACAGTCTCCACTATAAATATGAATGTTCTGGGGCTGCCTGTGCTATTTACATGCACCAGGCCAAGTCCAAGCAGGATTGCTTTGGCCTCCCTATTTGTTCTCAGTGAAGTAACGGAGTTAAGTATCCTGCTGGAAAGGAGGGAAACATCCCACCTCCACGTTACCACAGTAGGAGCACAGGATGCACCTGGAGGGCTCTCAAACAGGCTCCAGACACTCAGAACCATCAAAGTGTTCTTCGGGAAGCCGCTGCATTGTGCTTGTTCTGCACCTACCCAGGGCAGAGCACACACCTGCCCCCAGCACAGTGCACCCAGTCTGCAGGAGCAGAGCATAAAACCCAGCGACAAGAGATCCCTGCTCATCTTCCACCTACTCCAGAGCAAGAAATCAGTGTCCGAGGTCGCTATAGATTCATTTGTAGACGTGTGTCACCAACAGCTCATGCATGCAGAGGGGCATTTCGAGTAAGCACTCGAAGGTAAGTCTCCCTGGAGGGCTGGGGTTTCAGGAGTGCTCGGCACCGTGGCCCCTGCTCATTGCACAGGCAGCCACAACCATCCGCACGCTCCCCTGGAAAAGACAAGACCCTTTACAGAACAAGTCTGGACATATTCAAAAGAGCAGGGAAGCACACGCTGTGGGGTAGGGGTGTTCCGAGAAGACAAGGGCAGTGAAAGAACTAAAGATGAACGGATCGGAGTGCTTTGTGCCCATCCAAAGGGCAAGGACAGGGACTGGCCACAACARTCCCTTTTCTAACAAGGCTACAATCACGGTTGTGGTGCAGACACGGGTTGTCTTCAAGTAGCTTGAATTTTCCCTGCATTACAAACAAAAAAGTGACAGCATTTATCAAGCCCACGAGCACTTTTCAGGCTCTGTGGGTGACGCTATTTTAAATAAAAGTGTTTCTTTTAGGTAAAAGTGGTCACCGTGGCTTGTGAAGAGATGTGCACAGAAGAGAATGTACAGAAAGGACTCAAAGAAACACTGTTCAGTGGCACGACAGCAGCTACTCAATCCGGACATCTTCTAGAGCTATGACTAGTCTAGGGAYCTCTAGTTAAAATCTTGATATATTTTCCATGATAACTTGATGGGGATGGTAGATAAAGTGCAGCACTGTCCAGAAAGAAGCTCCAGCTCTCACCAGAAAGTGGTGATAAATATTATCCAGCTTGTTTGGGATGGTGGAATTCAGGAAAAGCCCAAACTTAAGCAGAAGCCAATGCTGTGGAACTGGTTACCCGGCTCTCCAGAGCTTTGCACAAGCACTGGCTCCTACCCTGGCCATCGAGACAGCTGTCTCCATCCGAAAGCATCAGCAAACCAAAAACAAGAAAAGCAGAGAGAGGGCAAGTTCTAAGATATACTCTATTAGTTAGAGGTCTAGAAATGACTGTGTTTAAAATGACATTCAAAAAAATCCTTTTTTTTTTTTTAAATAGTTAAATTACCTGTCTCCTTCCGTACATAATGGGGGCAGAATGTAAAAGGAGACAGCAACAAACGCTTTGGGAACTTGCTCTTACGCTCAAGCCAGAAAAAGGGTTTTCAGAAATAAGACAGTTGAAAAAAAACACAAAATGAGACTCAGATGCAGGTGACTAACAGAACACTCCAAAACCCACAGCCCAGCTGTGAGTAAAAGCTGAAGAATGAAGATTCAAGTAATTACTGACCAGAGCTCAACAAGAGCCAAGGTGCTCTTGCTAATAACGTAAATTGATTGAAATACAAAGAGCAGCAGAGATGCTGCAGCAACTGGGACTGTAGAACCCCCCATCAAAAAGAAGTAGCAGTAAAGCACAGAGCAGTGGGAGAAGCAAGTTGTTCACAGATGATGATCTTCAAGAGAAATCAAACCCACAGCAAAACGCAGCCTCTGGCAGAGGCAGGACAGCACGTCCTAGTAAGGATTCTGCTGCAGGGACCCGTTTGAGCCATCCTTCCTCATTCCCCCGCCTGAAATAACAGTCAAGATTGTCCGCAGTACACCTGCTAAAAGGGAACGAGTTATTGCACAGTAAAACAAAGAACAAAACCCCACCACGTTCACACACAAGATGCTTACTGGAAGACACTGTTTGCTCAGTACACCTTCCTGAAGCCAGGCAGAGAAGTTAAGAGGTGCAGTAAGAAAACATGCTATTTCTCTTTAATTTGCATGTGCATTTTTTTTTTTAAACAAACACTCTTAGTCCTTGTTTGCTGAGCTCTGTAGTTTCAGCCCCTAAATCAGCAGTATGGCACGTGTGCCCATGGAGGTGCTGGGCCTGGTTTTACACTCCTAGAAGTTGCTCAGAATCAGCTGTTCAGTGTTTAAACAACCTGCAGGAATTAGTGAAGCCTCTAAGCTTCTCCCTCGCCACAAGGCAAAGRAAAACAGACATGCTGCAACTCAGGGGAAGAAAGGGGGGAAAATCACCAAAACGGTGCATGACAGCAGAAATTCCACTTGCTTTCTGCCTTCCTCCCCTCTCCAGGGTAGCAAAGAGAGAGAGGAAAAGAAACAGCAGGACTCAATGGAAGGCAGAAGGATCCTGGAGGGCTCACCGGTGGCTCAGTGCTGCTGAACAGGGTACTTGTTACTTCACTGCTGCTTGGTTTTAAGGGATAATCTCTGTACRGTCTTGTAAAGGAGACCAAAGTGCTGGAAACAGAAGGAAAAATGAGTAACCATGAGTTAACTGTAAGCGCTAATAAAACAGCTGTGTTCTACTCGGGCAGGAAACTAGAAGCCTTAACGTAGTTCTGATGTGCAAACGTAATACTTTGCTTGGTTCATCCTCTAACGCTCCGATCCTGAGAGCAGAGGGGGCCTTGGTGAATTAGGAGGAGTGACGACAGYGAGGGCAGTTAGTCAAGGTTTCACAGAAAGGGATGGCTTACAGAACAGTTGTGGGGCTGCTATCACCCCCCGCGGGAAGATGCCAACACTTGCTACTCATTTGATTTTTTGAGGTGATTCTTTTCCTTTGGAAGGGGAGGGCAAGTTTCAGTGTTCAACATACACACAATATTGGCCACTAACAGAAATACGGCTGCTGGCAGTTTCAGGAATGCGGAAATCAATCGGGCAACGCCAGAGATTCCCACTAGTTCACAATCCTTTACCAGGCTAAAGGCTTTTAACATTTCACCAGTGACTTGGAAGTTTACCTGATTCTTTCGATTTTGCACTCTTTTTGGGTGATTAACTGCATTTTGATTCTGTAATAGCTATTTCAGGATATTCAACAGCTATCACAAGATCCAAGCTTCAAACACACCATCATAATGAATATAAGGAAGATGGTGGTCGGAATTCAAAGATGATGTTTTTCCTTCYTTTTCTGTTATTGTTACTTCAGATTCTAAAACGCTTCTTGCATCCCACGAATACTAGACACAACGAATTAGCAAATATCAAACACAAACAACATGAAGCCTTTTCTCTCACCTGGACTGCAACATAGGCGACTCCCAGGTAGGCTGCAATGCAGACAGCCAGAAGCAGATCAAATATCGCTGGCTTGACCCTGAAATGAAGCAACACATAAAGCAGCTAGAGCGGGCGCTACCACAGAGGGAGACAAGGGTCACACGTGCCCAAGAGAATCCCGTACCTGTATGCATTCATCACTTGCTTCAGCTGGTCATAGAACACAAACTCCGGGTCCCTGCGGAAGGAAGAAATTCTTCGGGCTGTGCTACATTCCTAGACACTGCAGCAAGGACATCCCCGACCTCTGTTCCCAATAAATTCATCCAACCCCATCCAGGCAAGTTTGACAATTCTGCACGATGCTTTTGAACCGATCTCAGCACTCGGCTCCCTTTTCCTCTACAGACAGAAATCCAAGGATGCAASCCAGGGCACAGGCGGTTCAAGTTTCTCAGAAGCACACAGAAAAACGCCTTTCTGGGTTCATGAAACTGCCACATTCCAAGCAGGTTAGACAGGAAGCAATCAAAGAAAGCCTTCTAGGGGACATTAGGTCTTCCCCGCACTTAGAGAAAGGTGGGTCTCAAAGTGAGAAGGATGGAACCAAAGTGGTGGCTCTCTCCAAACCTAAGATTTGCTTCTGTGTGGTGAGGAAGACAGACAGCTTTCTACGTGAGAAGACAGATCACAGGCCATAACAGAGAGGCAGCAGAAAACAGGGATCACCTGCAGTCACAGGACAAGGGAGGAACAAGAGAAGCTGCAGCCCAGAAACAAGATTCAGGGGAGGGAAAGCAAGTGTGCATGCCCCATCTGCTGCTTTCATCCCTGCTCTTACCTTTTGTCTGCCTTTACATGATGTTGTTTCACATCCTTCAGGTAGCGGCCCATATAATATTCCAGGGTGTTGAGGAAGGTGCTGTCTTTATCAATGAGCTGGGCAGCCCTTGGCTGACTGCTCAGCCAGTCCATCACTGACTCGAGTTGCTCCTCCTGGATCTGCTAGAGAAAAGGAGCAGCAAAGAGAGAGTCAACCACTCATGCCGAGAACAGACCCTGGATGCCTTCTCCCCACACACGACACAAATACACTGTGCCTACCATCTGTTCCGTGAAGATCTGGAGGTCTGCAGGGGCTCCCTGCAAAGCAAAGAAGCCAGGCTGATGGTGAAACGAGGCAGGCCAAGCCTGGCTGGCGCTGCAGGAGGGGCTGCCGCTACTCTTACCTTCTCTGTTAGGTTGTAGATGACTCTTGTCAAAGCCTCGGCAATGATCCTGGTATTCCGGGTGAGTGCCTTAGTGTCTACGTGGGCCCTAAAAGAGATGGGGGAAAAAAATCACAAATTTGGGAGCAGCTACCTCAAAAACAGCTTCATTCAAGAGAAGTCCATTCCCGATTTGGGTTTCGGGGTTGGATTTGGGCTGCAGCCTTCCCCCGGCCATCTGACCTGCCATCCATGATGCTGTTGCGCAGGCTGTCCCGGTGGCTCTCCAGGTGGGAGATGGTGAACGCCGGCAAGCGGCGGATGGCAAAGCGCTCGTGTTCCCACGCCAGCATGTCCTCAGCCAGGTTGATCTTCTTGTGCACCATGGAAAACTTCACTTCTGGGAACTGGCTGGAAACAACCTGAGGAAAAGGCCAGGCCATTCAAGGGTGTCATGCTCCCCACTGCAGAATCCCATCTCGTGCTGCCCAATCCACCCAAATCCAAGATTTAGGGCTACTGATGGTAAATCCCCCCCAACACCTGCAAGCTGCAACCCTGGCTAGTGCCATTAAAAAGATGGTTTACTGTCATTATAGATATCACCTTTATAGCGTTTGCAAGCAACAAACCACAAGTAAACAGAGTGGAAAGTGTCTGCTTTAGTATATAGTCTAAATATATATATATATATAGTCTAAATAAATAGTCTGCTTTATTCAGAACTATGGCATGAGGATGTGTGTGCATTCCACATCATATGACCAAACAGAATGCACAGCAAAGGTTTCAAAAGCGCGTCCTTTCTTTACTCCTTGCTCCCTTCCTTTCTCTCTGGCAGATCTGCCTCTCCCCAGGGTAAGCCCTAAGCTCCCTTTACACAACACACTCTTAATTACCATCTCCAATTCTCTCAGAAAGGCATGCTGCAAGGTTCCCTCCTTGGGAGGCTTGGAGACGTGCAGGTGAAGGCTGTTCCCTCGGCCCAGCGTGTCGAGGCAGAGGACAAATGCTACGTTGTCCTGCAGCAAGCTGGAATCTGGAACACACAGATTGGAGCCCTTAGCACGAGGCCCCGTGCTCTCTGGGAATGTAATTGCTAGCAAGCCTCACGCACGGAGACTCTCAAGGGAAGGCTGACACACTAGGCACTTATCACAATGGCACTGAGGCACTGCTACCAGAACACGCTCTTTCTCACCAGTGTGATCCAAGTTGTCTTCCAGCCATCGCTTGGTTCCTTGGTAATTAAACTTGCCTCCTCCAGATGCAAAGAACAGCAAGTTATACCTGCCCATGGAAGCAGACAGAGAGGAGTTCTAGCACACCATACCCACAGCTGCAGAGCTCAAYGAGCAGACTTGGAAGTGGGGAAGGAAAGGGAGGGATGTGGGGAAAAAAATCAGGACAATTGGCATCTGAGATTCAAGACAAACCCGGCATTAACAAATGCTCCCTACATGCCCGTATTTAGGCAATGAGAGGGCAGGTATAAAGTGGGAAAGTTCCCAGAGCCAGAGGATTGAATCCAGTTCCCAAGKCCCTCCTTCCGCTCATGCTCCAGCCTGAGCAGAGCCTCAGAGGGCGGCAGCGAGGGCAGCAGCCTCAGCAGCTGCTGCCATGGCAGGGAAGCACAGCAGAGCACGGGGCTGCTCGCAACACTCTGGCAATGTACAGGGCTGCAGCACAAGCCCCCGCGGCCGATTTCGGTCTCCGCAATCCACCGTGGGCAGTTCCTTACCCGGCGTGGGTACGTCGGTAGGTGTAGAGCCGGGAAAAGAGCCGGGCTAGTTCCAGCAGCACGGAGATGCCGCTGCCGTTGGAGTCAGCGCCGTGGGACAGCCACTGCGGGGAGAAGTGGGACAGGGGAAGGTGACGGTCCTACGCTTACCTTCGTGTTCCAGAGCRGCCTTCAAGGCTGCCCCTTGTCACTCCACTTGTAACCGTCCCTCCTCTCTAGGGCCAAATACAACACAGGAGCAGAGGCCCCAGAGAAAAAGGGAGAGAAATAGAAACTTGCAGGATGAAAAAAAAAAAAGGAAAAAGAACAAGAGTACTTACAGGGGCGACTCCAAATGAATCATAGTGGGCAACTATCACAACAGTGGGTARATCTTCTCCACCCAGCCCTGTTAGCCTTCCCTGAAGAAGACGAGAGTCCAGCGTTACTGAGCCAGCCCCAAAGATGGCACGTCTCCTACAAGCCTATCCAGCCTCAGTTCTGAGCACTTCAGCCCTTTCTCTCATTGGGCTGAGCCTCCCTTTATTTCGCCTGTCAATCCAAATGCCAAACGAAAGCCCCCCAAAAGACAGCACCCCCCAATACTGCAAGTCTGAAGCCATTGAGAGCTCACCTCCACGCTGGGTATGAGCCAGTCGTTGATAGCTTTGCTCTGAGCCCCGCTGGTCACCATCTGGAAGCCATTGGCAGTTGCTGTGTGCAACAAAACTAGAACACAACAACAACAGTTTGCTTGGGGAAGTCTATTCCTTTATATCCCTCACTAGCTGAACTGTGGAAAGAAAAGGTTTAAACTGAGCCCTGTCATTTGTGTTTATGCACTGACACAAAACCCTAGTGACCAGGCATCTTCATTCTAGTCTGAAACCCTGAATCTCTCACCTTGGTAAATCAAAAACCTTTCTCCAACAGACTGCAAGCTCATTATGATCAGCTCTATGTACTGCACTTATCACACCGGGAGATACACGGAGCACTAAACTGACCTGTGCTCAGACAAAAAGCTCCACRTTGCACCAACCTACTGATAGTCACTTAACTCCTTTTTAACTCGAGTTTTGCTTTCTATTTTTGCTTTCCAAAACTAAGAATTCACTCCATGCGGCTGTATTCCTAAATATAGTCTAGAACTACTCTCTTATACGGTTTTCCTTCTATTAATTCTCAGAGCATTTAGAATAATCAAGAAGGCAGCAGAACATCAATGCTACAATTCAGGGACTCAGCAGCCTGCTGAGGGAGGTGGGCGAGGGACTGCCTTCCTCTCGGCCTTTCCCTGGCTCTTGGCACTCACCTTCCGCGGCTGATGCGGAGCCCTGGGACGCAGAAGCGGCCCGGGTTTGTTCGTAGATAGACAGCAGCTCTTCATCCTCCACTGCAAAGTAGACTGGCACCACGGTTTCCATAGCGAGCATTTCTGGCTCTATCTCCATGAATTGCTGAGGATTTAAGCGAGACACAAACTTAGTATCTGCTAAACACGCAAGAGGGACTGAAAAAAAGAACAGCCAAAGCAGAGAGAACAAAGTTTTAAAATCAGAGGGAGATTTGTTGAGCATTACAAGGGCAGTCAGTCCTGCAGCAGCTCAAACCCTGCTCCCTCTGAAATCAGAAAGGCAAAGGAAACAGCTGTTTTACCCGAACAACATCCTGGGGCACAGAAGAAATGGACTGGGGCAAGATGATGACCACGGCCCCGGCTGACTGCCGCAGAGCCTTCTGGTACTGCTCGTAGGAGAAGTCCACGAGGCGCATCATGACGCAGCGGCGGCTCAGCACGTCCGCCTCCACCGTGCGCGCCTCCGTGTTGAGCACGGCGCTCCTCGTGCCTGCGGGAGGGAGCGCGAGGAAGCTCAGCGAGCGGCCCCATCGCAGCCCTGGGGACAGGCCCACGCGCTCCGCAGCGGCGCTGCCGTTCACCTCTCCCCGCTCGCCCCAGGAGGGGCAGAGACCTGTTATTACCCCCCATCAGAGCGGTTTCTGYGCAGCCACAACAATCCAGGCCCCCCTGACCGCGGCTTCACACGGCCAGGGCTGCCCCGCAGCCGTCGGCGCGGCCAGGGGCCCGGCCACGCTGGCACACGCCGTGACCRAGGAACCCAGAGACCGTTTCACGCATCCAGAACCCCCCAACAGCACCTACAGTATTTACACAGCATGCAGACACGGCTGGTGYGCCTTTATCTTTATTGACAATTGCTTTTACGAAGCTTTAAAAGATCCAGAGCCCAAATCTCTTGAACAGTGCAGAACAAATCTGAGGCTGCAACTCTAGTCTGTCGGGGAAGTCTGAAGCTCAGGCCCCTAAACTGAGAGCAGGAAAATCCATTCATGGCGRGAGCACATATCTGATCTGGGGCTGGGAAAGGCGGGTGGCCGGGGTTGGGCTGTACGGGGTGTGTGGGGGTGGCCCCCGGGTTGCAGCACCCCGGGCACCTCAAAGGCCGCGCTGCACAACGGGCCGCGCGGGAACGGGGCACGGGAGGAGCGGCAGGGCCGCGGGAACACGGGGCGGGGGGCCGGTTCGCCGGGAGCCCGGGGCAGCAGCGCGGGCCGGCCGGGGCACGAGGGAGGGCGAGGCGATCCCAAGGGAGAGCGGGCTGCGGCCGGCTCCCCCTGCGGCCCCGGGACCCCGCCGGGAAGCGGCGGACGCGGAGACACGGCCGGGCCGAGGGGACACGGCCGGGCCGCGGGGACACGGCCGGGCCGCGGGGACACGGCCGGGCCGCGGGGACACGGCCGGGCCGCGGGCCGCCCCGCGCGGCAGGGCCGAGCGCTCCGCGCCCACCCCGACCCCCCCCACAGCCCCGCGGCCTCCCCGCCGCGGCCTCCCGCCTCACCGTAGGGCTGCCCGCCCAGCTCGTACTGCTGCATGCGGTACACGGTGAACTCGTGGGCGGCCTCGGCGGCGGGCGGCGGGCCGAGCAGCAGGAGCACGGCGGGCACGAAGAGCAGGAAGCTGAGCGGGAGGCACGAGGCCTTCAGCACCGACTCCAGCACCTCGCCCGCCTCCTCCAGCATGGTGACCACGGCGATGGCGGCGGCCCGGCCCG